GGATTGCTTCTTTAGCAGCACTAGCTTGGTCTTCAGGAACAGGGTAGGTTGAGAAAAGCGAGGGTTGAGCAGCACTCGATGACGAAGGACGAGCACTCGTCAACGGCACCGCAAAGGTTACGGTAGGCCGAGTGACATTGTCTCCCTCCACGACCAACGTCTCGGGTGCTGGCACGTCCTGAGTCGCCTTGCCAGCAGATGCCTTCTTGCTCCTCCTCTGCCTTGGTGGTTCCTCGTCGTCATCGTCGGGAAGATCGATAACGACGTTAGATGAAGCTGCAGAAAGAATCAAAATTAGAGACAATAAGTCAGTCGACTGAAAACGGCATCACAAGAGTCATACCAGGTTTTGAGGTAGCAGCATCCTCCATCTCGTGGTCTTCAGCCCTGGCCGAAGTATCAGAAGTAGCAGCACTGCAGTTCCAAAAGTCAGTCGTGGCCCATGAGTCGACCAAGAACAAGTTCATGAAACGGGGAAAACTCAAGAATACCATTACCCTGAGATAGTGGGGATCACCATCTTCATCTTCGGCAAGACCTTCGCAGGTTTCGACGGTGCCACTCAAGATTGCTTCGGAGCCTTCTCAGTCGGCGCCGAAGTAGTCCGAGGGCGCTTGGTCGACTAGGAAGCGGTCGCGACCCCCTTACCACACTCAGTCGCGGGATCATGGACAAGCTTCGAGCGTCTTTCCGAGCAGGGAGGTGCAACTTCCTCCTCCTCCTCTTCCTCCTCATCAGAGTCATCATCCTCGTCATCGTCGTCAGCATCCAAATCCCACTCCTCCAGGCTTTCGCCCCCACTTCCTTCCTCCTCTTCAGTCGGCGTCTGCGCTCCATTGGGCATCGAGTATAACTCCGTGGTGGCCTGTCAGGCAACAAAGCGAAACAAAGATCACTCGACCAATTCACAGCGAAGCAGAATGAATAAAGCAAGATTGCAATTGGAAATAAATGGCCATACCGTATCCAGTGTGTAGGTACAGTCGAGTGGTGGGATCCTCCTGGCCCCTCGAGGGTTGTCCTTATTCCCCGTGATTGCGGTCACCCACCTCTCCAGTGTGGCGTCGTCGACCGCCTCGGGATGGACCCGAGTGGTGTCTTCGGTCCCACAATACAGCCACATCGGATGGCCTCGGTACTGAAGTGGTTGGATGTGCCGCCTAAGGAAGACCTCCAGAAGATCCATACCCATCACTCCTTCTCTAACGAGTTGGACTACGCGCTCCATCAGCATTTTTACCTGAACTTTCTCCTCAGGAAGCACTTTCAGAGAAGAGGGTTTGTCCACTCGGTCCATGGAAAATGGAGGGAGACCAGTCGACTGCCCCGGCGTCGACTCGTCTTGGCAGTAGAACCAAGTCGACTGCCACCCTCTGACCGACTCAGGAAGGGTCATGGCCGGGAAAGTACTCTTATTCCTCATCTGGATCCCAAGACCACCGCACATCTGGATAACCTTAGTCCTCTCATCGTCCGGACTCGCCTTTTTCACTGTCTGTGAGTGACAGGTGAATATGTGCTTAAAGAGACCCCAGTGTGGTCGACAACCCAGGAAGTTCTCGCACATGGACACAAAGGCAGCAAGATAGGCGATGGAATTGGGAGTGAAATGGTGGAGTTGCGCCCCAAAGAAATTCAGAAACCCTCGGAAGAAAACACTCAGCGGCAGAGAAAAACCACGGTCTACATGAGTGGCTAAGAGAATGCACTCACCCTCCTGCGGCTGCGGTTGACACTTGGTCCCCGGAAGCCTTGCTGGCCCGTGGGGGATCAGTCCCTCATTGGCCAGGTCATTGAGATCTTTCTCGGTGATGGTCGAGCGGATCCAATCCCCTTGGACCCAACCCTTTGGCAGGCGGGACCTTGATGAAGATCCGCCCCGACTGGACGGTCTCCCCTTCGCTTTCCCCGTCGCCGTCGCCTTCTTCGCGCGCTCTAGAGCCGCCGTTTTCTCCTTCACCATTGTCGCCGGCGAAGCGCGCGAGGAGTGGATAGGCGGAGGCAAGAGCAGGCGCAGTGGGCGGAGGCAAAGAGGGAGGAGAGAAGAATGGGAAGGCACTGTTCAAAAAGCCCTCGCCCGGCGCTTTATATAAGGACGCTTCCGAGTGGCTGACGAGTTGGTCCGGGCAGTCCTGTCACATCCCGAAACAGTCGCGCACGCACGATACGTGGCGAAAAAGGCGGCGCGGAAATCGAGGCGTCCATGCCTTATCCCTTCCGAGTACCGCGGTTCGCCCCGCTTCGCGCGCTTCCCAAATTTCAGATCCCGCAAAATCCGCTAACAGCAGATCAATCTGTCAGACGATATCTTTCCTGCGATCCGTCGCTCGGAAGTTCACTAAAGTTCAAAAAGTTCACTCGACAGAAGACAAGAATGGATCAAGGCGACTGAAGTAAAAGTTGACGCCAACGCCGAAAGAAAAAATCGCCGATCCAAGATATGACATAATCAAAGCACAGGAAATGAGTCGGAGAAAATCATCAACTCCTTCCTCACTCGAACCTCGATTCATACGGGGGCTAATGATGATGTTATGTACCTAGGGTAGGGTCATGGACCTATCTAGGATACCATACCCAAGGACATCCTTAGACGAAGCTACCTTCCAGTCGACCAAGAGAGACTCCACTCGACCGGCTAGAAGACACTCGACGAACCTAAAGGCACTCGACCATGAAGACTCACTCGACCATCAGGAGTTCAGGATCTACTCTGTATCCAAACGTCTGTAATTAAGTAGTCTTAATGGTCATGATGACACTTTATGTAGGGCGTTACCAGTAAGGCCCGGCCTTAATGTACTTTAACCCTCTGCTACGTGGGTTGGTTGGGGTCCTGGCGTCCTCTATATAAGCCACCCCCCTCCACTGGTAGAAGGGTTCGCACCCCTGTAACTCATATACACATAAACCAGTCGACCGCCTCCGGGCTCCGAGACGTAGGGCTATTACTTCCTCAGAGAAGGGCCTGAACTCGTTAAACACTCGTGTGTACAACTACTCCATAGCTAGGATCTTGCCTCTCCATACCTACCCCCCATTCTACTGTCAGACTTAGAACCACGACAGCGGCAGCCCGATGCTCGATCAATGGAGAAGCGCGCTGAACTCGGGGATGATCTTCACGGGACCTGCGGAGGCGCGCGTAACCGACGGGCCAGGTCGGTCGCGCGGCGTAGATGAGGCGGATCGCGGCGGCGAGCGGGTGATCAATCCGATTGCGCGCGAGGTCGGGGACGCCGCTCGGTAGAGGCGTGGTGGCGGCGGAGTCCGAGATGAAGCCGGCGACGGCGGGCGGCATGAGACGTCGTGCGAACGAGCTTGTCAGCACCGGCACCCGGGCTGCCAAAGCAATGCCGGCGCCCGGGCAGCGAGGTCCGAGCGACCAACGGAGCAGCGGCGCCCGAGTTGAGTCAGCCGACGAGCCTGACGCAGCCGAGGACGAGGCCGGCGAGGTAGACCGCCGGGCAGCCGTACAGACGCGGCGGAGACGGGTGACGTGGATTGATTGGCGGGCCCACGCACGACCGACGGCTATGATTGGCCGTCGCATGGCGCGAGGCCGCCGGTTCGGGGTGATGCAGGTGTCCCGGTCGGAGCAGGGCGGTGACGGACGGCGCAGGGCAACGGGCGGACCGACGCGCGGACGGCGGCTGGCCCTGATGGGCCGCCTCGGCGCGCGTGGCCGCGGGTCGGAGGAGAGGCCGGCTGGTCGCGCCGGGGTCGGAGTAGAGGCGCTCGGGGTCGACAGCGGCGGTGGGCGACGCAAACCGATCAAGAATACACCGGAAAACCAAAAAGAAACCGCGCGATCAAGATGACCGGCGAGGGAGAGAAAACCCCGGAGCAAGGCTCGGGGAAAAGACTCTCTAGTGCAGCCGGTCAACACGATCGGCGGACGAACCCTAGGTACGGGCGGCGCGGCCCCCGACGGCGGTCATGGAGGCCGACCGCCCCGGGGGCGGCGCGCAGGTGCGGAAGCGGCAGCGGCTAGGGTTTAGGATCGAGTTGCGATAGATACCATATTAGAAGGGGCAGAAGGATTTGGTGGAATAGTTGTTGTATTGCTTGAGCCTCATGGGCATATATATATGAGGACATGATCTACTTGAAGTACAAGGCAAGCCAGAATATTTCCTAGTTTAACCTATGTTTCCTAATACAATCACGTTACTCAACAGATCAGTCTCGTCGATGGTGGAAACTCACGGTGACGGCGCCACCGGAGGACTGGAGAACCCTAGTGGCGAGACCGAGGGGAAAAAATCCTAGTGATGCGTCGATGTTTTCTTTCAGCGATGTTGCTCGTAGCAAGGACCGCTTCCAGGAACCCACGGAGGATGTATCAGTTTCTGCCTACTTGTTTGTTGGATGACGTTGCCGTTACGGCTTTGTTCATAAAGTTAGACGTGGTGTGTGTTTTCTATAAAATTAAACTGCAGAAAACGGACTTAAGGATGATGTGCTATGATTGTTGAAAAAATAAACTGAACTGGTCTAGCCGTCTAGGTGACATCCACAATTTAGATATTTGTTTCTTCATGTGAACGGCTGAAGGTGAATGGTCAGCAATCCTCCTTTTCAACCAGGTGACGCTACCACGCTGCACGGCACTGCGCTTCCCCAGCTCGCAATATCAACCATTTGCATTTTCATAAGCAGCCATCTTTGACAAGAACTCTCTCAGATTTTTCTCCGGTCTACACAGAGGCGCCGTGTCAGCTAGGTATTACATTTACATGCACACCAAGACAAATGTGTAGCAGCCTTTTTCATTCAAAGAGAACAAATCAATCAGTAGTAGACTAGTACTCACGGCAACTACGACCTCGACTCCTGATGCTGCCAGGCATGCCATTATCTCCATGACTTTCAGCCCAGGTGTGCGGTGCGCCTCAGCCCTGCGACCAATCTCCACCCCGCCAAAAACTGTACCGATTGAGTTGCTTACTCTTGAAGGAAGCGCGGCAGGCCAGCAGCACTAAATCTGGCAAGAAACCATGCCGGCTCTTCTTCTGCTCTTGCTGTTGAGCATGGGCGGAGAGTTGGTCTCGTGCTCGTCCGCCGACGAGGGCCAGTTCGCCTTCCAGGGCTTCGCAGCGGCGAACCTTACGCTGGATGGTCTCGCCGCCGTCATGCCCAACGGCCTGCTCGCGCTCACCAACTTCACTCTCCAGACAAAAGGCCATGCCTTCAACCCCACCCCTCTCCGCCTCCTCGACGTCAACGGGACGACCAACTCCACTGCCGTGGCGCGCTCCTTCTCCACGTCCTTCGTGTTCGCCATCGTGTCCAACTACGATGGCCTGAGCGACCAAGGGCTCGCCTTCGTGGTCGCCCCGACCACGAACCTCTCAACGGCGATCGCCGGGCAGTATCTGGGCCTCCTCAACGCCACGAACGGCACCGCGAGCGACCACATATTTGCTGTCGAGCTCGACACCATCATGAACCCCGAGTTCCGCGACATCAACAGCAACCACGTGGGCATCAACGTCAATAGCCTCATTTCGCGGAAGGCCACGCCGGCCGGCTACTACGGCGATGACGGTGCCACCTTTCGAGGCCTGATGTTGAACAGCCGCGAGCCGATGCAGGTGTGGGTGGACTACGATGGCCAGGCCAGGCAACTCAATGTGACATTGGCTCCTGCGCAAGAGCCCAAACCCAGGTATCCTCTCCTCTCTGAAGCCATTGACCTCTCCACTGTGCTCACGGACACAATGTATGTTGGCTTCTCGTCGTCATCCGGCGTGGTGTCGACGCACCACTATGTGCTTGGATGGAGCTTCAGCTTGGACGGGCCTGCCACGCCGCTTGATTTCTCTAAGCTTCCAGCACTGCCGCGTGTGGGTTCGAAGCATCGGCCCATGCTCTTGGCTCTCTTGCTACCATTAGCCACCGTATCGATCATCGCCGCGGTGCTAGCTGCCACCTCCTTCTTTGTGTGGCGTCGGCGTCGATTTGCTGAGGTGCGTGAAGATTGGGAGGATGAGTTCGGCCCACACCGGTTCGCATACAAAGATCTATTTCGTGCCACTGATGGATTCAAGAATGGAAATTTACTCGGTGCCGGAGGGTTTGGCAAAGTATACAAAGGGGTACTTCCTGGATCCAATATGGAAATCGCGGTGAAGAGAGTATCACATGACTCAAGACAAGGTATAAGAGAGTTCATTGCTGAAGTGGTGACCATTGGTCGTCTCCGCCACAGGAATCTAGCACAGTTACAAGGCTATTGCCGGCGCAATGGTGAACTTCTCTTGGTGTATGACTACATGGAAAATGGGAGCCTTGACAAGTACTTGTACAATAACAATGGGCCAACTTTGGATTGGCCTCAAAGATATTGGATCGTCAAAGGTGTTGGGTCAAGTTTACTGTATCTTCATGAGGATTGGGAACAAGTCGTCATCCACCGAGATATAAAGGCAAGCAATGTGCTCTTGGATAAGCAGATGAACGGAAGGCTCGGCGATTTTGGCCTAGCAAGGTTATACGATCATGGCACGCATGCTCAAACAACACATGTGGTTGGCACTATGGGATACCTCGCACCAGAACTTCTACGCACTGGGAAGGCAACACCTTCAACGGATGTATTTGCATTCGGCGTGTTTCTCCTAGAGGTTGTCTGTGGACGCAGGCCCATTGAGAGTGGTCAGCATAACAACAGGGTGGTGCTGCTCGACTGGGTGCTTGAGCACCATCGCAATGGCTCAATCATTGACACAGTGGATCCACATCTCATGGGCAAATTTAACACAGATGAGGTCACTCTTGTGCTCAAACTAGGTTTGTTGTGTGCACACCCGTCACCCAATGTTAGGCCTCATGTGCAAAAGGTCATGCAATACCTCGATGGTGTCCAATTAGTTCCTGATTTACCATCGACATACATGAGCTACAGCATGCTTGCTCTCATGGAGAATGAAGGGTTCGATTCATACATCATGGCATGCCCTCCGTCGGGGATGAGCATTTGTAGTGTATCCGACATGTCATCAGCAACAGTTCTTCTAGATGGGAGATGAATTTTTTGCTTGTAATCAACTATTTTTATTGTTCTTCTCTGCCTCTTCCATTGATGGTTTTGTAATCAACTTGTGACCCAAGATTTTTCTTTGTTTTTGCACATCATGTGATCCTAGCTTTCAAGTTCCAGAAGCTCTTTTCCTCTAGTCTAATCCATGAATCCGGGATTTAATAGTGATTTTTTTTCCAATAAGTCTTCCAACCTATTAATAAAATGTAACAGCAATACGAAGATTCTCATAGGTAATAAAAATTACAACCGGGTCCATGGACTACCTAACGATGACTATGAGCAATGAAGTGTTACTATCCTCATGAGACCTCATGCATGAATCTTTGTATTGGTTTGATGATGATCTGAATTGACCAAAAAATTGAACAAACCATTTTGATATTTCTACTGAATAAAAATTCCTTTATTGAGAAAAAAGTGTTCCGCTTGTCGCCTTCAATTCTAGCATAATACAAGTAGAAGTTTGCCTCCAGTTCTTGGCTATGTCTCCTAAAATTACTCCTGGCATTGCAGCTCCGTCGTGTCAGTCTCGACCAATACATAATGCACATGAAGACAATGGACAATTGACTGGGGAGCCGAGCTAGCTGCAGAGCACCATTCTCAAGAGACTACTCGACCAGCTCGGCCTACAAGGCTTAATTCCATGGCTCCCACCCGAGGTTCTTGACCAACAAGATTTGGAGGTCACACACGGAGCTAAAGTGTAGATAGTTCTCCCGGCTTGTCCTCCACAACCGAATCCTCATGATTGATCACCTAGCCTCAAAGGGGCTTGCCGAATTATCCTCTTTGCCAACTTTGCCTCGGCGCCCACAAAACTGTTGCGTATCTCCGCAAGGACTGTCCTTTCACTGTTGCGGCCGTCAACCTCGGGTTGTCCTGGACAGATCTTCAGCTTGCCTTCGGCCCCATTTCCACTTTTCCCTCGATTGATGCATGGTGGGAGGGCGGTCTCAAAGATATCGACGGCCCTAGGCATCATAGAGGCGCCCTCATCTACATAGTGTGGAACGGAAGGAGAGGAACAAGCGCATTTTCATAGATGTTTGGCCTTTGGGCCGAGAGTTATTCAAATCCACGAGTAGTCTGCATGTGGTTTTAGTCTACGTGGGTTTCCGGCATGTTCCTCTTTATACATGACAGGATGTGCGTATTTTCCTTTCTTAATGAAAATGTAGTGCCCGTGTCAATTGCTTAAAAAAAGAATCAACAACTTCATGTGCATTTTTGCTACGATTTGAAGTTCATAGTGTTGCTCCTTGTGATGAGATGATAAATAATAAAGAGAATATAAGGAAATTGTGTCTGAACGACGGGTTTGAGGACCAAGTATGCATCTCTATTTTTAATGGACGAGTTGGTTGAATAGTCCCACCACTTTCGTTTGTGTTTTTTTCGTCTGGTTTTCTTCGTCCCGCCTCCCACCACCCCCCTTCCCACCGGTTTTTCTTTTTTCTCGTCTGGCCGGCAATACCCAACGTATTTATGGCAATCAATCACAATTAATCCACGTATGGTAAGGCTGGAACTTAGAAATTTCAAATATGATAATTATAGTAATAAATCAATCTAGGTATGGCAATTTCGAATATGGTAATTATTCTCTTCACTTCGTACGCCCCACCCCATCGATCGAAGGTCTCCCCCAGCGCACGCCCCACCCATTTTTCCCACCTCCGGATTTGGCAAGTGATGATTCAATCCCGTAATTCCCCCACACAAAAAAGAAGAAAGATACAATCACATAATTTATATTCCTTATTATCCACATTACCATTCGTCACCTAAAAGATGAGAAGCGCTCAACGTCCTGGTCTAATTTCCCCCCGCTCCTTGCGACGTGAGAATGCCCTAGCTGCTAGCGCTACCCTCGTCCGCCGCCGCCGCCGCCTGAGACATCGCCCACCTCCTCCCTCCTCCCCTACCGCCGAGTAATCCAATGCCAAGGAGGACAACCGTCATACGATCCAGCTACAACCGCTGATCGGCCTCGTCTCAGCCGCCGCCAAAAGAGGCTCTTCTACATAGCTGAGGTGAAGATGCAACCGGCACAGTCACCCTGCCGGCGCGCCCCATGCCGAGGAGTGGCGCGTCAGGTCGTACCTGCGCTAGGTCGATGCCAACACCATGCGCTTCATCTGTAACATCACGGTGCGGTCCACGACGACGCTCCCCGGTGGTGATGAGGAGTGCGCGGTGTTGCATGAGGTGTCGGCGCTGCTCTTCTCGGTACAGCGGGCAGGTGCAGTTCCTCGTCTCCGACATGTAGATGTGGTTGGATTGGCAAGTTCCTCCCGGTCTTCAAGAGCCTCTCCAACTACGAGCTCATGGACCTCGCCGTCGACAACCGCACACGCTGCTTCCGGCACCTCCAGGTGGGCCTCACCTGCCACGCCGAGTTCAGCATCGACCCGCTCCGCGTGGCACCGTTCGTGAAGCTGGCCAACACGTGCAACGCGAAGCTGGCCAACACGTGCAACGCGATGCTGGGCGTGCGTGGCGCCGGGCTAACCAACATGGTGTTCCCGTGCACGAGAGGATCCAATGCCCCTCCGCACTACCCCACGTGATCCGACGCAACGAGGACGACATCCTAAGATCCAGTCGTGGTTGTGCGGAATCTCGGACGAATCCATCCGGCCTCATCCTAGCCGCCACCGGCAGAGGCAATTTTTCATAGACCAAGGTAAGCATCCATGTCTGATGATGCAAATTTTGGCTGGTTCCATGGGCACTTCATTCCCCACCGTGCAATCTTCGTTGATTTGGAAAGATGGCGTTGTCTGTTTAGCTAATTCAATCTGGTAATTTTCTGTTCAATCTGCCATTGATCATGCTAATTCTTGTTATATTTAGTTATATTGGAAACAACGTGAACAGGCTGCTCCTTTTTCCAATCACAATACTTATGTGTGGAGAGCTCGGGCGTTGGCAGCTGTGGGGAAGCACAAGCTGATTTGCGACTGATCAGAGGGCGAGCTTCACATACCTGTGTAGCTCATATGTGTATGTGATTAACTGATTAGCAGTTTAACACACACAAGCATTTTTTGCTTCTCTGGTTGAGTACTAGCATAGTGATGGTTCCCATCTATCTTGGCTAGAAATAGCTAGATAATTTTATTCAAACTTATAAGTGTATACTACTACTGAACTTCTCGCACATAGGATTCACCTTTTGTCTCATCAAATTACCATTATGTTGCATAAAGTGGAAAGCATCCGATGTACGGGCAATTAAGAATCCCGTCAGTTTTGAAACCTTTCATGGTGTACCCGCATAATTCTCTTCAGCATGCATGAGCTAGAGCATAATAACCTGTCAAATATATAGGGAAGCCAGTCGGGCACTCGATTCATTGATTTTTTTTGCAGGGACTTAATTCATTGATGCAATCCATATCTTACAGGAGTACTTGTTTACACCAAGATTTTTCTTCTCGGCAAAGTTTGCTTCTTGCACTACCGAAGAAAGATGATGCATGGTGTAGCAATTGGATGATGTGCTCATGATTGTTCTTTCTTGGACAGAATAAGGAATTCAGGTTTAATTCCACTCATATATAGATACCCATCTTTTTTTTCAAGCTATCTTTCAATACTAAGCTCGGTCATCCTATTTTCTACAATTTTATGCTATTCTTTTTCTTCCTTCCGTTTGCTTAACATTATATTCTCTGTATATATGCATGTCAAGTTTAATGTGTTTTAAAAATGACTAAGAGTAGGAATATTATTTTATATGTACCTTTAGTAAGAGTAGCAGTTACTGAACAAAAAGAATGGCCGGCCAGCATCTTTTTAGCTAGAACTTTCGGTTGTCAGCAAGGATGACAGATAAGGTACTTGTTAGTTTGGTAAATGAGTTTATTCACATAACTATTCCTATGAATGTCCACTATACTATCCGAGGAATAGTCACCCACTTAATATTGGTCACATTGTTTTATGGTGCTCAATCTCTTGAAATACTAAAGGATAGTTCTGTAATGGAAATGGTGTTCTCTAGCATACATGTTAGTTCCGTAAGGTGTTCATCCCGTGTTTAACTTCTGAATAGTGATTGCAAAGTTTTCAAATTTTGTAGCATGCCTTGGGATTTGATTACCCTTTGGAATTGTTCTTTGTAGAAAAAAATATGCATATATGATCATGCTTGGAAAGAACTCAGTAGCTTATCATATGCGTCTTCATCTTATATCTAACTCACATGGCTTGCCGGTTGTTGGTTTAGTAGCATCCTCCTTGGCAAAGAAGAAACATATTTTGTGATTAATTGCTTTGATTCTAAATTTCTCTGCCTTATTTGTTCTTGACCTGCATGTTCCATGTGTTTCCACGAAATCGTGATGGTCGAGATGCTCTTGCAAGTTTAGTTAATGCAAATGTTGTGTAGTGATCAATAAATCATGTCAAAAGTTGTAGGGTGCTCAAAGTAATGAGCTTGCTGCTGCTTCAAGGCTGGAAGCCACATTCAACTTCTACCATACTACCAGTCTTGATGTAACTAAGCTTTTCCACATTGACCCTGAAGCCAAGCGCACCTTTGTAGTCTTGCTGAAGAAAGAGGAGGAGAAATTGGACTTATAAGGTATTTTCATCACTAACTTGCTTCACTTCGAGTAGCTGCATTTTCCTTCCATGTATGTTAGATGATTTGGCCTATGAATTCGATATAAATGTATGATGCATTGTGCTGACGGCGAGTTCAGAGCAAAAAAGGAGGGACGACAAATGCAACAGCGATTTGGCCTACCATTTGCACATATGTCACAATTTTTTAAAAGGAATGCAGAATCTTTATCCATATATAGATCGGCTTTCGGTTATAGGAAAAAGGAGGGGCGGCGACTGCAACAACGATAGGACGGCAGCCAGTATGCCTGAGCCAACACGCCACTGTTCTTTCTTTACTGGCACTGTAACAATCAAATTTCATTATGTCCGGAGTGCATAATCAAGTGTCTTATTTTCTTTTCGGTGCCTTCTTATTTATGTATGGGTATGGGTTAGTGTTTTAGGTGACTGGTTACAATGAAAATCTTTATGTGAATGGTGAGGAGCATGCAAATTGGGACAACTTGCTTTCTGTGAGCAACCATCTGAATGCTGAAAGGTCATACATGGGTGTGAATGGATCGGATACATCACATACATCAGGTAAACAACATGTACCTCTTTGATTTCACATGTGCGCACATGCTAGACACTGTTGTGCCATTTTAAAATATATGTTTCTTCATAACCTTGTTTTAGGTTGTGTGTTTTAGGTAATTCTTATTTGGGTAACATGTAGGGGCAGCTACTAGTATCATGTATTTTAATTTTGAGTCCTCCTAAAGGGGTTGTTTGAAGAATTTATTCTTACAATAAATTTGGCATAATAGTTGGATTCTTTTGATTTGACAAAAAAAATAACTGATCTTGCAATGTAATTGACTGAACTTGCCATTTATGGATTTTTCCTATAAGCTAATAAGTTTGTTTATGTAAAGAAACTGCATTGGAGTAGATTGTGAGTATTTCTTCACCCCCCTGGGGCCTCTAGGGCAACAACTTGTGCGAATGACACCAGTCCTCGCGACGGTGCCATTAACCCTCTGAACGCTCTATTGCAGTTGCCTCTATAGCTTGATGTCACGGATTGGAGGACACCAAGGTACTGTATATTTTGCTTGATGAATGATCTAGATTGATTGTTTTTATTGCTATAGTATATTCCATGTCCACAATTTTATAGCTACAATAAGTGAATAATGACAGATGTGCAAGGTATCTAAAGATCTCCACTTAGTGCAGATGTCTGGTGACAGACTTCCTTTATATTGCATAATTTTCAAATATATAGTGGTTGTTGATTCAGAAACTGTATATATAACTTCTTTATATCTTTTGTTTTATGAGGAAATTTTCCTGAACTCTGTCGATCTCTAAAGTTTGTAAGCATCAAGTTCAATGTTAGTGAGGAACATATGAAGCCTTAGCTAAGGAAATATAACCTTTGCTGTCTAAGGTGCGCAATAATAATCTAGTAAAGAGTGTGAGGATGTTTATCTTCCTTTACTACGAGTATAATGCATATGAACTAGAAATATGCACATGTTTTGCTATTCTTGCACCTAAATTTATTTTTATTACTGATGCCCTTTTCACTATTTTCAGATGCTCCACCCTGTCTGCAGTCATGAAGCCATGCTCTTTACGTCCTTATTCGCATCACCGCTCTTTCCATTATTTGCAGACCTCTTTGCACCAAAGGTAAATGTCCTTTTTATGGTGAAAATGTATCTATCTGGACTATTAGCATCCACAAATATTTCCTACATGCTTATAAAAAATTAGCTTTACTGTATGCAAAGATATAGGAAGAAAAGAAGTGAAGGACTTGAAAACCAAAACTGTCATAAAGACGAGGAAAGAATGTTAACCAAACAAACACAAAAATGGATAAGACAACAATATGTGAAGACAGGTTTGTGCATGTTGGTTTCCGTCCATATTGTAGTTACAGTTTCACTTAAGTACCATTTCCTTACTGCAATCTGACTATTACAAATATATATTCCGCATCTACTAAACAAAATTACATGTTCAACTAAACATTGACACGGTGGTATATGTTGCTCATGTACAAATAAAACTATTTCATGAATAGAATGTTGGAGTAAAAAAAATGCAAACATTGGTTACAGTTTTACATCTTTACAGAATTCAGTTGTTTGTACTCCAGTTTTCTTTACTTAAAATATCACTAATGCCTTTTGTGAAGCAAGTATAAAGGGCAGCCCGGTGCATGTAGCTCGACTTGAACCCGTGACCTCATGGTCGCAAGGCAGCAGCTTTACCACTGCGCTAAGGCTCCCCTTCCAAAGCAAGTAAGCATCTGAAGTATAATTTTATCTTTTTATATAAATAAGGGCAAATACAAAGACTCACGTCTTGCCTATACCAGTGAAAAATATGAAACTACATAAGGTTATTTGGTGATTTGTTTTAGTACTTTGTGTTTGGAGATCACAATTTGTCATGACTGTGTAGTCCAATCTTGGATTTTCCTTGGGAAATTTGTAGCCCATGCAGATGCACAGGTTGATGACTAGTATGGTCGAAATGTGTTGCGAGGTCACCATTGTAGATTTGAAGACATCACACTTGTACCCATTAATGCATTTCATTTCCAGTAGGTAGTTTAGTCAAACGCGCGCCACGAACCACAAGGCTCTCATAATTTTCCACACCGCAAAACGCTGAAAAAAAGTTCTCTTTACCTCGTCAATCTTACACAAAAGCTGTGAATTTGATGTATGCAATTACTCCTATCCGAATTAGTCCTATATTTGTCTAGATATGGATAGTAGTAGTGTTTCCTGCGCCACAGCCCACTGGCTCGTCCTGCAAAGTGATAGGAGAGCCATGTTTCTCCAGCTTCACCACTTGGTCACTCTGCTCCTGCTCCTGGTGGCCGCCGATCGCTGGCACCCCGCCACCGGTGGTGGAAGCAGCAGCGACGATGACGGTCGGCAGTTCGCCTACAACGGCTTCGTGGGTGCGAACCTGACGCTCAATGGCGGGGCCACCGTCACGCCGAACGGCCTCCTCATGCTGACCAATGGCACCCTTCACACGAAAGGCCAGGCCTTCCACCCGTCCCCGCTGCCGTTCCACACGGAGGCTAACGGCACCGGCGTCGTGCGGTCCTTCTCGACCACTTTCGTCTTCGCCATCTTTGGCCCGTACGCCTACCTGAGCAGCCACGGACTGACCTTCTTCGCCTCAGCGTCCAGGGAGGTGCTCTCCACTGCGCTTCCAGGCCAGTTCTTGGGCCTCCTCAATGGCACCAATGGCAACCAGAGCGCCCGTATCTTCGCCGTGGAGCTCGACACGCTCCTCAATGCCGATTTCCGTGACATTAACAGCAACCATGTTGGTGTCGACATCAATAGTCTGATATCCATCGATTCTGCCGACGCCGGATACTACGATGATACCACAGGTCGGTTCCAGAACCTAAGCCTGATCAGCCGGAAGGCAATGCAAGTGTGGGTGGACTACGATGGCATGGCCACGGAGATCACCGTGACCATGGCTCCCCTGGGCATGGCCAGGCCCAAGAAGCCGCTCCTGCGGACCACCGTCGACCTCTCGGGTGTGGTGCAGAGCACGGCGTATGCCGGATTCTCGTCGGCCACGGGCGTCATGTCCACACGCCACTTCGTCGTTGGCTGGAGCTTCGCACTGGACGGGCCAGCCCCGGCACTGGACATCTCAGCGCTGCCAGCCTTGCCGCGCGCCTGGCCCAAGCCACGGTCGAGGGTCCTGGAGATTGTGCTGCCTATAGCGTCGGTGGCGCTGGTTTTCGCTGTGGGCATCGGAGTGTGCATCTTCGTACGACGGCGTCTCAAGTACTCCGAGCTGCGCGAGGACTGGGAGGACGCGTTCGGCCCCCACCGATTCTCTTACAAAGACTTGTTTCATGCGACCAAGGGGTTCAGCAACAAGACTCTGCTCGGAGTAGGAGGCTTCGGAAGTGTCTACAGGGGTAAACTCCGCAAGCCTGACAAGGAGATCGCCGTAAAGAGGGTCTCCCATGAGTCGAGGCAGGGGATGAAGGAGTTCGTCGCCGAGGTTGCAAGCATCGGGCGACTACGGCACCGCAACCTGGTGCCGCTGCTTGGTTACTGCCGGCGCAAGGCGGAGCTTCTCCTGGTTTACGATTACATGCCAAACGGAAGCCTTGATAAGTACTTGTATGATGGATCCGCAGGTACACTGGATTGGCCTCAAAGATTTCACATAATCAGAGGGGTGGCTTCTGGGTTACTGTATCTCCATGAGGATTGGGAGCAAGTTGTCATCCACCGAGATGTGAAAGCAAGCAATGTTCTCCTAGACAGCGAGATGAATGGGCGGTTAGGGGATTTCGGCCTTGCAAGGTTGTACGACCATGGAGCGGACGCCCAAACAACGCATGTGGTTGGCACCATGGGCTACCTAGCTCCTGAGCTTGGACACACCGGCAAGGCAACCCCGTCCACTGATGTGTTCGCCTTCGGTGCATTCCTTCTGGAAATCACGTGTGGGCGGAGGCCAATTGAGCAAAACGAGCGCAACAGCCGCATCGTGCTCGTGGATTGGGTGATCGAGCAATGGCGCAACGGATTGATTGTTGATGTGGCGGATACGAGAATTCCTGATGGGTTTAATCCGGACAAGGTCTCACTGGTGCTGAAACTAGCACTGCTCTGCTCACACCCATTGCCCACCGCGAGGCCAACCATGCGACAGGTCATGCAGTACCTTGACGGTGACATGCTCCTCCCAGACTTGTCACCGGCGTACCTCAGCTTCAGCATGCTGGAGCGGATGTACAATGGGGAGTTCAACCAGAACGTGATGCCATACGCTTCATCAGCGAGCGCAGGTGCCATTTCTGATCTCTCGGGAGGAAGGTGATGAGATTCTTGCACTGAGTAAAAAAAAAAGTGGAATTGTGCAATTGACTATGGAAGTTCCGATGTATCTATGGTGTACTCGTTTTACTAGAAATGTATGCTTTTGTGGTTTATCTTTCTTATGACTGAATTTCAGGATTATATAAACACATCAATGTGGTCAAACAAGTGCTATCTGTTTTTTAGGATCATATCTCCATCCGTCACCATACTCCTACCTTACAATAGGAAATCAAATGAATGATAAAATCAGTACTCGCAGAAGTTCTAAATACACGATTACTTCTACATATTTTCCGTCAAAACAATAAGAAATTGATTGTTTTTTTCTTGCTTGCAGTCTTCATCTCAAGCACAACCAGTGTTGTCCTAATAGATACTGCTGACAAAGTAGCATAGTTTTTTTTTCTGAGGAAATCAAAATTTTATTCATCATGTGTATAGGACTACTTTCATGTAACGTTAGATCTGAAACAAAATGCTGTGGAGATCATCCCTTGGCCAGGAGAATCTGCCACTGTTAGAGTTTCTGAGTGTTTGTTTAGGCAACTTGTTTTGGTTGATGGTTTGAACTTTGTGGTGATCTTGTGCAAGTGTGACGCTGGTTTGAGCTGCCTGCGTGCAGTTGGTTCAGAAATAGCTTTGCCTGATTGTTGCAGGCTTTAGTTTTCTTCCTCCTATCCGTGAGGGTTTCCTTTTGAGTTTCTGATGCTCTTGGTGTGTAAACTGTGGCGGTTTCTTTAGTGGAAATCCATGGCCTTTTCGTCCAGAAAAAAATGTAATCCCTGGACTTTTGAACCAAGAAAATAGTCAGTTTCCGTCCCCTAATTTTGTCACCGAGCCCTCCAATATGAAAACAAGATCTCTGGGCCATAAGACGTTGATGGTTTTGCTGAAATCATAGGGCTGTGACCAAGCTCACAGTGGACGAATTGGTGCAAAACTAGAATACCCAGAAAGTAAATCTTAGATAACGAGTGAAGATCAGAGAAAATCGGAACCAAGAATCGACACATGGGACACCTATCATCGTAGAATGGCTTCATGGAGTAGAAATGTGTCACTGTTAGAAGTCACAGCTACGTATCTTCCTCTCGAATCATAGTGCAAAGAGCCCGCAGTCCACATTTTCCCATAGAAAAGTAAAAGAGGTCTCACTCAGCCATACTTATTTTCTACGGAGTAGCTTTCTACCATGTGCAGTGACAAACGCTCTCACCCCGCGTCACACGATCTTGCGTCTTGCCCAGCTCACACCTGCGACCGCTTGCAGTTGCGAGAACGTACCAGAGAATAGGCAATGCCTTCCGCCCCAGACCACTCCGGCCGCTTTCGTAAAATATCCACGGCGACGAACTCCACCTTCGTGGCGCCACAGATCACGGTCCTTTGCGGTGATCTGTGGCGCCTGAACACAAATCAGAGAAAGACATTGGTGTTTTGAGGTTACGTAGCTCCCCACAGATCACAGACTATAAAAATCTAGCAAAAGAGCATGTAAAAAGAAGGTGATTGATGCTCTCTTCAGCACCACATATAAAGGTACGTGGTCTCACTCAGCCATTCTTGTCTTCTATCGTTGGAGTAACAACTCTCACGCTACGACTTAGAGTTTTCAGAAGATTTACTCGTACTAAATAGAAGGTGAGAGTTGTCACTGGTAGCGTGAGAATTGTCTCTAGTCCATTCTATCCATAAAAAGTATAGCAGACTTGTGTTCCACTTGTATTACCTTCTGTTAGATGGAAAAAAGAGACTCCCTCCGACGTCCTCTCTGACTTCCAGGTTCCAGCCCAGTGTGCGGCGCGTCTCGGTCCTCCTCTACGACTGCCGGACACGTCCTTCTTTCTCTGACTTATCCTAGTGTGCGGTGGGCCTCAATCCTGAGATCTCACCCACAACACCATTCTAAACGCCGTCAAAAAATGTAACAATCGTGGTTATAAATTTTACCATTTTTTTTTGCGGGTGATAAATTTTACCAATTGAGTAAGTAGATCTCAGTTTGCTCAAAAGAAAACGAGAGAGCAAACTTTGGCAACAAACCATGCCGACTCTTCTTCTGACCTTGTTGTTGAGCCTGAACGTAGCGTTGGCCTCGTCGGCGTTCTCCTACCAGGGCTTTGCCACGGCGAACCTTACCCTAGACGGTCTCGCCGTCGTCATGCCCAACGGCCTCCTCGCTCTCACCAACTTCACTTCCCAGCAAAAAGGCCACGCCTTCCACCCAGCCCCGCTCCGCTTCCTCAACACGACGGCGAGCTCCACGGCCGTAGCGCGCTCCTTCTCCGCATCCTTCGTGTTCGCCATCGTGTCCGTCGTCGATGGCCTGAGCGACCAGGGCCTCGCCTTCGTGGTCGCCCCGACCTCCGACCTCTCATCGGCCAACGGCGGACAGTACCTAGGCCTCCTCAACGCAACCAACGGCACCGCGAGCGACCACATCTTGGCGGTGGAGCTCGACACCATCTGGAACCCCGAGCTGAGCGACATCAACAGCAACCACGTTGGCATCAACGTCAACAGCCTCATCTCGCGGCAGGCCAAGCCCGCCGGCTACTACGCCGACGACGACGGCATGGCCTTCCGAGACCTGATGCTGAATAGCCGCAGGCCAATGCAGGTGTGGGTGGACTACGACGGCCAGGGCAGGCGACTCAATGTGACATTAGCTCCCGTGCAAGCTCCGAAGCCCAAGAATCCCTTGCTCTCTGAAGCCATTGACCTCTCCACTATCGTGGCGGACACGATGTATGCTGGCTTCTCATCGTCGTCGGGCGTGGTGTCCACGCACCACTACGTCCTTGGATGGAGCTTCAGCTTCGACGGACCTGCTCCACCGCTCGACTTCTCGAAGCTGCCCAGCCTGCCGCATGTGGGTCCCAAACCTCCGTCCAAGATCTTGTACATCGCTCTACCATTAGCTATCATGTTGCTCATCGCTGCGGTGTCGGCTGTAGCGTTCATCCTGTGGCGCCGGCGTCGGTTTGCAGAGGTGCGCGAAGATTGGGAGGAAGATTTCGGCCCACACCGATTCGCATACAAAGACTTGTTCCATGCCACCGACGGGTTCAAGAACAGAAATGTACTCGGTGTTGGAGGGTTTGGAAAAGTATACAAAGGGGTACTTCCTGTATCTAATTTGGAGATCGCCGTCAAGAGAGTGTCACATGACTCAAGGCAAGGAATACGGGAATTCATTGCCGAAGTGGTGAGCATCGGTCGTCTCCGGCATCGAAATCTTGCACAGCTGCTAGGCTATTGCCGGCGCAATGGTGAACTTCTATTAGTGTATGACTACATGGCAAATGGCAGCCTTGACAAGTACCTGCACAATAAGAATGGGCCAGCTCTATGTTGGCCTCAAAGGTACTGGATTGTCAAAGGTATCGCATCAAGCTTATTGTATTTACACGAGGATTGGGAGCAAGTCGTCATCCACCGAGATATAAAAGCAAGCAATGTGCTGCTGGATAGGGAGATGAACGGGCGGCTCGGAGACTTTGGTTTAGCAAGGTTATACGACCATGGTACAGATGCTCAAACAACACATGTCGTTGGTACCATGGGATACCTCGCGCCAGAACTTATGCGCACGGGGAAGGCAACACCCACAACCGATGTATTTGCATTTGGTGTGTTTCTCCTAGAGGTCGTCTGTGGACGCAGGCCAATCGGGAGTGACGAGCATAATAACCCGGTGGTGTTGGTCGACTGGGTGCTTGAGCACCACCGCAATGGCTCAATCATCGATACGGTGGATTCCCGGCTTGAGGGGAAATTCAACATGGAAGAGGTTAGTATCGTACTCAGACTAGGTTTGTTGTGCGCGCACCCATTGCCCAACACAAGGCCTAGCATGCGAAAGGTCATGCAATATCTGGACGGTGACCAAATCGCCCCTCATTTGGCTCCGACCTTCATGAGCTACAACGAGATGGCCTTGATGCAGAGCGAAGGGTTCGATTCATACATCACGCCGTGCCCTCCACTGGCGGCGGGCATTTGCAGCGGATCTGGTGAGTCCTTGGTGACAGTTCTATTCGATGGGAGATGAAGCGTTGCTCGCAAATTACATGAGCTATTTATGTTGCTATGAGGGATTTAATTATCTTGTGCTCTCAGATCCCTCTTTGCACGCCTTGTCGTCCGAAAGGTCCCGCAGTCGGAGGAGCTCTTTTTTGTAATCCATGAATCTAGGTTATCATAGTGAAATGTTACCGCCCCATGTATCAATTTCAGTAGTATTGGTTGACGTATAGCTAGGCCCCATGCACACTTTTTATCAGCAGGTCAAGTTTGTTCTAGAAAGGTCTCGGAAATTTTTAATTTTTCCTTTTTCAACAAAAAAAAAAGAGTAGAAGAGTTTGATTTGGAGTCTGATTTGTATCCCTTCCGAATCTTGCAGCTGGGGAGATATGTTAGTATAAGAAGGGCTCCCAGATAATAACGAGCCACGATTCTAATTAGGATCTTCTTCTAAATCATAATTTCGCTTGACGTTGGATCTCCGATCCTGCGTTAACCGTGAGAATGGAGCTGGACGATTATTACGAAACAATCTACAAGAGGGACATATTTATGTTCTTGTTTGGACTAGGTACGCTCTTCTCCTTGTTGCTCCTATAAGATTTCCACTATATCAACTCGTGTATAACTTCCCTTGGTTGAAACTTGCAAATTAACCAGCCGCGGGTTTCATGTTCGGCGTGGCTTTTATGCTGGATAACCCTTCAACCGACTACTACTCTGTCAAACTCACCGGCATCACCGCTTCGTCACCGACCTCGCCGCCGGCGTTCAACTTCACTCTCCGCGTCGAGAACAAAGGTTTGGTGTACGAAAAACTGCTTCAGCCACGGGCAAGCGGCCGTGTCGTACGCCGGCGTTGTCATCGGAGAAGGCCACATAAGGGGCCCTGTCGTGCTGTGGTGCAAACTCGGACTGCAAGAGTTGCAGCAGCCTTCGGATTGCAAGTCTTTCACTGATTTGGGACGCAGG